CGGCGGCCGGTGGACCGGGGGGTGCTCGGCGGCGAGGGGGACCGGATCTGGCGAGGTGGGATAGCGATCGAGATGGAGGGGGATCGAGATCGAGTGTCCATGAAATTTAAAAATATTCATGATAGTTCAAAAAGTGCCCACGAAATACAATCGAGAAATGAAGGCTATGATTTAAATACAATCGATCTTAGCTAGCTATCTTTTCACAATCTTCTTGCCCTTCTTTTTCGCAAATGGAGTTCTTCTGTGGAACAGAAGTCCTTTAGGTAGGGTGGTCCTACTTCTTCTTGTGGTGTATGCTGCTACTTCATCATTGTCGTCGTGTTCGATCCTCGGGTCGCCGTACTTGTCGAAGTCTTGCTCATTGGCTACTCCATCCATTCCGATGATCTTCCTTTTGCCTCTCCTCACGACAACACGACTGGGCTTTGACAGGTCGGTAATGAAGAAGCATTGGTCAACTTGGGAAGCCAGTACCCATGGCTCATTTTTCACGGTGACGTTTGCGCCCGCGGTCTTGGATTTGGCTTCGGGTATAACCATGGTGGTGAAATACCGGTCTTCTTTTAGGACGCTCTTCGCCCATCTGACACGGAACATCGGGACCTTCTCTCCAGCGTAGCTCAGCTCCCAGATCTCCTTGATCCTTCCGTAGTATCTGTCCTTGTCATTACCGGTGTAGGATTCCATCGTTACCCCGGAGTTCTGATAACCGTCGCTCTTCATGTCCTTGGCCTCGGTGTAGAATGTGTAGCCGTTGATATCGTACTCCTCATAGGTCATCAGGTTGTGCTCGGCGCCCTGTGACAAGGCGAATATGAGTTGTTCTTCCGTGGAAGAATCCTCATGTAAAGGGTACGACAGAAGCTTCTGCTTGAACCAACGCGTGAAACATGAGTTGTGCTCTTTGATTATATCTCCGTCCGTCCTCTGTTGTCCTCGGTCATTGTACGTCTTCTTAATAAAGGTTTTGTGCTCTACCACCCAAGGATCGACCACGTCTATGTGTTGTAGTGCGACTAGGTTTGCTCTTTCAAAGTCGGCGAGTCAACCCTCTAAGTCGACATGCATTTCGCGGCGACCCTCATGGTGACCCCATCCAGCGAGCCTGCCGAGGTGCCTGTTGACGGGCAGACCAACGGGGTTCTCGATGCCTAGATAATTCGTGCAGTAGGAGATGCACTCTTCGGTCAGAAAGCCCCTGGCTATACTTCCCTCTGGACGTGACATGTTGCGAACGTATCCTTTGATGACACCATTCATCCTTTCGAACGGCATCATGCTATGCAGGAACGTTGGCCCAGTTGGATGATATCCTCCACTATATGGACCAGCAGATGCACCATAACGTCGAAGAATGCGGGCGGGAGTTTAGACAGTGTTGTGTGTCGACTATGAAGCGGCGCTCTTCGGGTGTCGTTGTTATTTATTGTGTGTGAATTTCCTGTGTGAAAGTTGCACTTGGCGCGAGGACCATCGTTTCCAACGGGTTGCGCGCTGGTTACATCTACTTCGGCGGGAGGTTTCTTGTGTGTCGAGGGATTGTCCGTTTGTTATCGTTACCCCATCTTCAGGTTATGTATTCAAATTGCGTAATTAGAAGATTTTATCAGTGGAAGTTGGAGGAGTTCGTTGTATCATGAAGGATCGGGCCAAATCAGCGACGCGTCCCAGGTCGTGCCTACATCAATAGACCAACCAGTAGATCATAAAAAAATTCTATGTTTAAATATAATGGCCGCCAAAATATCCAATCAAACATGGAATAAATAAGAAACAGTCATTACCAACAACGCAACTTGACATTTACATGAAGCAATTGGGGAAAACAACTCACTTTCAAGGACTAAACAAAGTAGGATGCATGCATCAGTCGCGTTAATAATATAACTATCAAGTTGGTGTGGCAACTAAAAAAAAGGTTGTGCAGGGTCGGAATAGAATTGTCACATGAACTGTAAATTGTGGCAGGTTAACACATTTTATGGTATTTTACATTTGAGATGTACACAATAACAACAGTTTCCACTTCTCATAGAAGTTAACCCTTGTTTTATTTTTTGTTGAGCAATTTATATTTATGAACTAGTCCACTCCTAGTTGTAATTTTCAATGATGCTCACTTTACATTTTAAAATTCAGTAAGGTGTCATTAGTTTCGTAATAATGCAAACATGCTAAGTGAAATTTTTGAAGAAAGACCAAAACTACAATGAAATTATTTAGATTGTTAAATTTGTTGAGAGAGAGAGAGAGAGAACTGGTGCACGTAGTGAGTGGTAGTAACATAACCAGCCCCACTAGATATAAACAATATGAAGATGTTGAAAGCAACTCACTTTCAAGGACCAAACGAAAAACAAAAGAGGTTGTTGAATCAATCATGTTAATCACTATCAAGTTGGTGTGGGCCCACCTATAGCAAATTAGCACATTTTATCGTATCCTAAATCTATTATAAGACATACAAGCAGACGCCAATGACAGTTCCACTTCTCATCAAGGTCAGCCAAAGCCTGGCATGTCATGGGCGTTTGCAGGTGTCTCTTTCCTTTACTATTAGTTTAGTGCAATTATTTTTATCTCTGACAAGCCACATACAATCGGACAAACAAAAAGCCTAGTATGATTCTCAATGTAATTTAACTTTTTATCTTGTCGTTCTGCGTTGAGTTGTCTTCTCATTGCACTGACTTTTATTTCCCTTGATAATACTCAAATCTAACATGTCCTTTGGATGTCTTTATTCCAGAAAAGAAGCAGCCTGTTTTTTTATTCTGGCTGGGCAAGTCGAATTTTGAAATAGTCCACTTCCTTGTGTAAATTTCCATGACATCTCACTTTATTATACTTGCAAATTTTTGATAAGATGTCCAGTTACGTAATAATGCGAAAAGCTACCTTTTTTTTCCAAAACGGGTGACGTTAGTGTTAGTCAAAGAGAGAATTTCATGCGTAGCCAATAGTCAGGTATCACAATCTGCAAGTCTAATTTTCTTAAATAAATAAGAGTGCCAAGCTGACGAATTAGTTAGTAAGAAGATGTACATTTAAATTCATAAAAGAAATGCCCACTAAACAAACATTTGGTTGACTGGAAAATCATCATAATATATATGCCTTTTAATTAACCTTCCCTTTGGCTTGTTTAGCACGGTATGCTTGCTTTATATAGCGTCTGGAGACCAAGCATGGAAGACCAGCAAGCAACCAAGTATGAGAACGCCTCATGGAGCGCTCCTCTTGCTCTTCATCCTGGCGTGCCTCCGCGGTGCGTACTCCGGTGGCGGCCGGAGCCGCTTCACCTCCATAATCAGCTTCGGGGACTCGTACGCCGACACAGGTAACTTGGTCATGTGGGCTGATCCCGTCCTTCCGGCTCTACCACTCAAGAACCTCCCCTATGGCGAGACCTTCTTCGGCCACCCCACCGGACGAGCCACCGATGGCCGACTGGTCCTGGACTTCATCGGTAACCACAAATTCACTGCCAAATTTAGTCAACTACTGTCTACAACTACAAGTCAATCTTTGCTGATTCTGACCAAAAGAAACTTCATTCTTCAGCCGATGCTTTGGGTCTGCCTTCCGTGCCGCCGTACCTCGCAAAGGCGAACAACTTCTCCGCCGGAGTAAACTTCGCCGTGGTAGGAGCGCCGGCTCTGAACCTGACATACCTGCAGGGACTGAACTTGACCGTGAACCCTCCCATCAACAGCTCCCTCCACGATCAGCTCGTGTGGTTCCAGAAACTCAAGCCTTCCCTCTGCAAGGGTAGGTATCTTCAAAAAGGAAAGTGATTATGTCCAGTCCAAGTAATTTACCTCCTCATGCTTACGTCGATGTCGTGTGCTGCAGGACAAGGTACTGATTGCTTTGGAAGCTCCCTGTTTGTCATGGGAGAGTTTGGAGGAAATGACTACATAAGTTTCCTTCTGTCGAACAAAACTGTTGAACAAGCCAGACCTTATGTTCCTCAAATTGTCGACAGCATTTCCAGAGGGGTAGAGGTACTATGCTGTGCACAGGATGGTTCAAAAGTCCATTCTTCCTTTAATTCCCACAATTTACTACTCCATCGACCTGTGTTTCCTTTTAAATTTTTGTATTCCGCAACGCAAGACTTCTTTGCCTTATCCATACACTGGCTGCGTCACGCCGACCCTTAACATATCCAAATCATTTTGAAATTTTGTTGTTGATTATGTGGCTAAGATCGATGGACTATTGACTTCCGTCTTATACAATATTAAAGTATATCTAGTGATGAATCGAATGAAACTAATATGACGATTGTAAAGATGTTTGACTTAGCACAAATATAGAACTTCGGGTATTTTTATGGACTTGGTCGGATTTAAAGATGTTTGACTTAGCACAAATCTAGAACTTCGGGTATTTTTGAACGAGGGGAATATTTGCTATGATGTGTATTCCAAAATCATTTGGATCCAAACAA